AAAGTGAACAGAAACAGAATAAAAGAGTGAGACACCATGTGACTCTGTATCTGTATATAACGAATATAATGTTAGCTCATATATTAACATTATAGATCTATAAACTCCATATGTTCATATTTAAGTCACCACATTTGATTAAACCGAGTCTGTGAGGTTTTTCTTCGTCATTATCTCTGAATCTTCTGCACATCCGCTGGTTTTCAGTCTTTAGCACTTTTGTCGTCCTGTGTCGACAGAATCAATCTGAACCGACATTATTAGAAGTCAGAAGTCATTTTCAACTTTTCTTTATATATTTTATCCAATCGTCGCAGATTTCGAGTCGCCACCACTTCACTGATGTCGTTCTTTTCTCCTCGCAGCTCCAGTTCCCTCTGCCCGAGTTCATCGTGGCCATGGGCTTCTTCATGGTCCTGGTCCTGGAGCAGATCGTCCTGGCCTTCAAAGACCAATCCTCCCCTCACATGGAGGAGCGCCGGTCTCTGCTGGTGGACTCCAGCGTCCAGGTGAACGACAGCAGGAACGGTCGTCACCACTCTCACCGCCGGCGTGGATCAGAGGAGTCCGATGGCGGCCACTTCCACGTGGACTTCAGCTCCCAGTCCGCCCTGCGCGCCTTCATCCTGGTCTTCTCGCTGTCGCTGCACTCGGTGTTTGAGGGTTTGGCGGTGGGGCTGCTGGAGGAGGGGAAGGAGGTTCTGGAGATCTGCCTGGCGCTGATGATCCACAAGAGCATCATCTCCTTCAGCCTGGCCTTCAAGCTGTCGCAGAGCCGGCTGCGGCGGTCGGTGGTGACGGGCTGCCTGCTGCTGTTCGCCGCCATGTCCCCGCTGGGCATCGGTGTGGGCGTAGGCCTCACCGAGACCAAGGCGTCGCCGCAGCACCAGCTGGCCCGCAGCACGCTGGAGGGGCTGGCGGCGGGAACCTTCCTCTACATCACCTTCATGGAGATCCTGCCGCACGAGCTTCGCTCCGCCGGGAACCGCATCCCCAAGGTGGCCATGCTGCTGGTGGGCTTCGCTTTGGTCACCGGCGTGCTCTTCATCAAACTGTAACCGTGGAAACAGAAAGTCCTTCCTGTTCATTGGTGAATCTCTCTCATAAATCATTAATTTAGTCATTTGAAGTCATTAAAAGAAGGTTTCACATCATGATTGACAGCCGAGCCCAGCTGATCACTACCACACAGTCTGGTGTCATTTTTATAAAGTGGGAGGGAGCGGAGACGGCCACGTTTTAATATGTCAATGTCAAAGCAACATACCGTAAAACTTCTAATAATAGCCCGGGCGTTTATTTGCTTAAATCACTGAACTCCCCCTGCCTTTATTGGGGACAGGCCTTTAATTCCTTTAGCACAAAACTAAACTAAACTCTAACTGCTGCTTCTCTTGA